TGTTTAGTGTGAGTACATGTCATTTTACATTTCTAACTTTCTTTAATATCTTAAGCGTATTGCAAGTTCTAATATATTTTGTATGTTCAACTGCAAAGGGAAACTGATCCACTCTATGGTAGCCCACTTGGATGCAGTCACAAGTTTAGCCGTCGATCCAAATGGCTTATATTTGATGTCCGGCAGTAAGTACATTTTGTGTTTTTAAAAGTGTCTTGCTAACAACAGGATTGGTTGCAAAAGTAAGAAAATGTTTTTCTCCTTTAGGCCATGATTGTTCTATACGCTTATGGAACCTTGAAAGCAAAACCTGCATTCAGGAATTTACGGCTCATCGCAAAAAGCACGATGAATCCATTCATGATGTGGCATTCCATCCCACCAAATGTTACATTGCCAGTGCAGGAGCAGATGCACTTGCCAAAGTCTTTGTATGATGCAACACTTCCCTATCCTTCTAGCTGCCTTGTACATATCTATAAATATATATGTCTATATCTATAACATAAGCTGTACAAAAGATAAGAGCTTGTAACCTTTAATTCGTGAATGTTAGCAATTGCTTCTGATTATATGATCTCAGTCCTGAGAGCTTGGAAACTCCCTATTTCAAGCGATCTGTGGAAGAACCATTTTAATTTTGAAAGTGTCCTTTTTTGTCTAGGCTGGCATTGGGCAAAATGAGGTGCTGTCTCAATTTATGCAGCACACAGGCTAACAGCTTGCTTGGGTATTAGTGGATAAGATTCTCCCAACCTGGTGTACTGCAAAGGTCTTGAGGCTTGCAATTCTTAAGAACTTCCAGTCAGCACTTCTACAGGACAACAAGTTGGAGGGTGTAGCAAACAGATCTTAAGTTAGAATGTTCCCCCTGTTGGAAATTCATGCAGTTCAGATCCTTGAGACAGTTAATTCATTGTGTCTTTTTCTAGCACTGAATGGTTAAATGAGTCACAGAATCTCAGCCTGTAGAGTCTTATAATAGACAGGTTGGATTTAAAGTATTGACTATTTAAAAATGAATGTGATACATTTTCTAAAATTATGTTAAAAGAAGATATGTAAAAGGCTTATAAATGTAAATTCTATTGAAACTGTTAGAAATGAATGTTAACAGGTGGCTGGAACCACAGTATATCACCTTCAATGTAACTTCTTCTAAGATGATGGGACATATGTTTACAATAAGGATCTGGTTCATTTCGGATGCTAATGACTATTCGTTGTAGAGCTAAGGAATATTACATATCTTTCCAACTACTCAACAAAAGCGATTTCTAAATTTTCTCATTGGGATGCTTATTGGTTTGGAAAACATGTGTGTGCTGTTTCCTGCTTTCTAAACTGTACTGCATCAGAACCTAATAAACCACACAAGAGCAGTACTGTTTGGAATATGTGAGGTGATTGATTTCTATTTACCATGGACAAAACCTATATGAAACAACAATGCTTTCCTGACCTCTGTCAGTGATTCCATAATGTCTGCCAAAACTGGGAGAGTATATGCCGGTTCAAGCTGCAAGTGTCCAAAGGTAGATGGTGTTCTTCTGTATGCATTATTCTCTCCCCTTGCCTGCTGCCCACAATTGTCATGGCTTTATATAGCAGGCCTTGAAGTGTTGGGAATATAGGACTAGATTTGCTTTTTGAAAGTACTTGAAACTTAAAAAGGTTGGCCATCTTTGGCTATTATGTTGTGGTACTTTTAATGGATATTTTTTGTAGGTTTGTTACAAAAAACCCAAACCTGTTATAGTTGTTTCCTCTCCTACAAAAACTGATTAAATAGGATTAGCCGTTACACATTCATTATTTTTGTGATTTTGTGTCAAAGCAGAAAATCCAACTGCACAAAACACATTAATCTATGTGTGACTATTGTGTATTTCCCTTTACTAGCTTGATATCCTTATTTTTTAAAAGGATATTACAGATGTTAAACTGTGTATATTTTGTGTATGTGTGTATATATATATATATTTATATATATGTATAAATATATGACAGAGATTGTAAGCAGTATATATTATAAGTAAGGGAAGATTCTATGGATAATTTCAATGTTTTAGTATGAAAGTTCTTGAGACTTAATACAAAGGATAAAACATAAATAGTATTGTGCTTTTTGCTTAAAGCAACATAATACAAAATTGCTGATGTTTAAATTGCTGTACATATCACTAATAGGTCAGTATATTTGATTAAATTATGAATGTAACAAATGTTCCTGTTCATTGACAGAAGGATGTGACATCCTGCTCAGTGAATTTTTGATCCAAGAGAAATGACTTTTAAAAAGAAGCAAATAGCCAGAGTTTTGAGGTGCCATTGAGCAAACAAAATGTAGCCTTATGAGGTTGCAGGCTCTGTTGCAGATTCTTTGTTTGTCTTTCAGATTGCATATTACAGTCTGGATTGTACTAAATACAGATATATTCTGTTGCAGTTGAAAAATACCCTTTTTAATTGATAAGCTGTTCCATATATCTTGCAATCTTGGATTGCACTTCTGTTATGTACTCATACTCATTTTTAGATCTGTTTGATCAATGTGTATCTTTTCTTTATGCTATTCAAGTTAAGTTCATCACATCAACTGCCTTCATTTAACATACTGTCATTGAAATCATGTCTGATTATTTAAATGTTTTGCCCATGCAGCTAATCAGGGAGAAAATGCTGAGCATATGCTTGTTTACTGATACTGTAGCTATTGATTCGTGAAGAACAGGAAGAAATGTGTGAACTAGTGCTGCCCTTACACCCTCCATAATTTATTTCAAGAGCACATTTCCCCCCCCCTTTTTTCCTTTTATCCTTTTTCAAACCAGGCAGAGAAAATTTAAACCTCCATTTGTTGTTTGAAACCAAAACAAAAAAACCATTAACTGCATGCTAAACGAAACCCTGTACTGTAAATCAACAAACTGAAAACACACAATGGTAACCATGTGTCATAGTAATATATGTGATTTACAGGTACCCATATATATTTATCTTGTTGATCGTCTTATTAAACCAATTGTTTAAAGTCCTTCAAAAGTACAAAAGTGCAGCTTGGTTGTAGTTGGATGGATATATTTTATTTCTTCTAGTGTATTACTTGACATTTCACTAACTGCCCTCCTGGACAATAGACAGATTTGGATTTTGCATGTGCAGAGCAATTTTTGTGCATACATAAAGTTATATTTTAGTACATGACTTTTCGTTAAGCATTAACAGAATGGCAATAGCTTATGTTCTTTTTGCCATATTTATTTCAGAGAATCTAAAGAAATATCTTAATGTTATGATTAATTTGAATTCTTTGAGTATTTGCATTTAAGTCTCTTACTTCGAGATAACTGGTAGTAGTCTTGGTAGTACCAGAAGTGATTTTCATCCTTCACTGGAAACGGTGGTTTGTTTCTTGTGTTTTATACTACAACTAAACTGAAATGAAATCCCTCCCAAAAACTATAAATTAAATTCCTGAAAAAGAGTAGAAATCTTTCTGCATTTAGCATGGTAACAGTAACCATCATAGACTGCTTCAACAAATATGTACAAGGATCTACATAGTTCATGTGATCACTGTATTTATCATGGATACAAACCTTAATATTGGCTTGGACCAACAGAAAGAAGTAATGAAGTATGTGTGATACTAATCATGAACCTCTCAAACTATTCTTCGATTTGACATAATGTTGTGAGAGTTTTTTTTCTTTATAAAAATGGCTTTCATAATTCCCTCTATTTTCTTATATATGCTTACTTAGAAGTATGATCAACAGGATTCACTCCCAGGGAAACATACATAGAATTTGCAATATTTTTATTATACTGGAAATCGTTTTCATAATGCTTTGTAATACCAGTTTGCCTAAATTTTGGTTAAAATCATTTAGGTTTCAGTTTCATCATATTAGGAGATTTTGCATCAACAAAGAAAACGATTATGATGCTAGATTTTAGGGATATTTATAACAAAGAATTCTTCACTGAATATTACTCAGTATCTGCTAGTTTTAGTCCAGGAGTTATTCATAATTGTTATAAGTATGCACTTTAAAGTTTTCAATATAGTTTGTCATTTGGTTAACATCAGATAAAGATGCAAAAAGTGGAACATGCCAATTGAGAATTAGTATAGCAATTTAAAAAATAAACTTTTAAAAGGCAAATGGCACAAACTTTGTGAAGCATCTTGAGTAAATCTGTCTACCAAGAAAATTTTCTTGTAATCTTCTGTTATTGCAATTAAATATGAGGTAAAAGTGATGTGGTAATGAAGGTAGTAACTCTGGGTAGTTGCTAATAAAGTATGAATGTTTTGTACAGTACTTGCATTCTCTGTTGAATAAAATCTAATGGACCTTTCTGTAGTAACACTATACAGAGCAGCTTTACTCAACATTGCAGCAACAAATAAATGTCCTTTGTAATATATATTTATGTACATTGGGTGCTAATAAATACTATTTTTCAACACCTTCGTATCTTTGCATTTGACACAGGCACACGAATGTATGGATGTAACAGGTTGGAGAAACCACTGAAAATGTAAGGTTTAGAATAGAAAGATAAAGAGCTTCTTTATAAACTGATTTTTGCTCCATAGAAATACAGTGTGTTTTGCTTATAATAATCTTTGTTTGCTGCCGCTAAATAAAAATCAAACCTCAGTAGGGGTCAGTCTCAAAAAGAATTATGCTGTTGAATTCTCCTAAATTTATTATTTTACGTTATTTATTAAGCAAAACAAGGGACCGGGGAGTTAGATATATGTTTTAAGTCCAGCCAATTCTGGGAGTTGAAGTCGACATATCTTAAACTTGCTGAGGTTGAAAAATGGTATCATGCTGCAGTGTAGATTACTATATAGGTGTTTTTGAGTTTTCTAATCATGGACCGGGAATGCCTAACCTATACGTTTGTCAGAGAGCTCCTGCATAGTATTGCTATGAAAATTCTTGAATTCCTATACAGAAATGCTAATCTATCAGTTATATACATCCAAGTTAGCTGGAGTCTATAATTTCAAGAATACATAGTACATGATATCTAGGAAAAGCAACGTGATGATCAATGCACATGTACACTGAGTGCTTCTGTACTGGAGACAAATTCCTTGTCAAATCAAACTTGACCAAAAAAGTTTTGCTCAGCTCAATTCAATCCAATAATATATCAATACCGATTTTCATGTCTAATGTGTGTTGGGCAGTGTTGTGTTTCAGGATTTAGTGACCACAACAGGACTATCACCAACAGCTATGGCTGGCATTCATTCTAAAATACATTTTGGACTGCTATACAGGACATAGGCAACTGTGCAGGGCTCAATTAGGCACCTGTTTTTATAGCCAGGTGTCCTGACTTCTGATTGGTGAAGCTTTTTAAAACAAAACTCTTCAATGGAGAAACATTTCTTCTGATCTGTTGTGTGGCAGGCCTATAAATGATATAATTTGATAATGACTGGTTAGAGCCACTTCAGATACCTTTGAGATATTCTAATATTCACCTGTTATACTTAAAAGGATAATTTTAGAAATATGCTGCAATTGAATTGTAGTATTCCTGCGAATATGTAGTTGTCATACAGTGCAGTATTAGTTTGCTTTAGTACTAATCTCATCCCATATTTGGATTATTAGCATGAAACAGAATTCTGATTATTCAGAATTCATCAGAACAATAGTAATATCCACTTAAGAATTAGCCACTAAAATGTTCATTTGTAGGGCATGCATAATTTATATTGTTTCCATGCTGAAAACTTCATGGACCAATAATCTCATGCAATATAAGAGTATTTCATAAGAAGCCTGCGGGTCTGTTCAAGCATGCAAGGAAACATGATTTTTTAATTGTCTCCTCTTGGGAAAAAAATGTGAACAAGGCAGAGTGTGCACACGATAGCCTCTTTTGAATATTAAACATGAAACATTTTGCTTTTTCATTAAAAAAATGTTAACACAATTTTGTAACTTTTATTGGAAAAAGTACCACATCTTACAAAAAGCTATTAGAAGATAGAAGATGGAGCTTTGCTCCCTTTTGGATATATAAGTTCATAGGGGGAAGGCATGGAATTGAGATTCACAAATTCATGGTTCTTTCACAAAAAGTACAAAGTTCCTTCAGTACTCAGCTGAATACATTCTTTGCACCTGCCTTCACTAAGGGAAGCAAAGCAAAGATAATGGGCTAAAACAACATTTCAGAAGACAAAGAAATGAAGTATAGAAAGCTGATAACAATTACTGACCATTAAACATTAAGAAGTGCTCAAGTGACCCTTCACCATATACTTGTGAAATTGTTGGTTTCCCCACCAAAATTATCTAATGTAGCACAGTAATTCATCTTCATATGGGTTCTAGAAAGAGCCAGTTATCTTTAAAAAAAAACCTTTAGTAAATACTTATAAAATTACAATTAATGTCTCTTTTTGTAAATGGGAAAAATAAATATGAATATAAGTATATATTTCACCTTCCTGAAATAGAATCAGTCTAGTTTAATATGTCTCACTATTTGCAATATCAAGAAACGTGGATTAGAATGGTTCAGCCGAAATACTCTATATATGTAGAGTATTTTCACTTTCAAGCTACTTTTGTAGATTTTTTTCTCTGTATGGAAATCCTAGATAAGCCACAGGAAACCACTATTAGGGCTCAACCTCTATTTAGTCTACTAAGGTTGAAAAAAAATCTATTATAAATATTGTGTTTTAGAATTCAAACGCTAATAGTCATTTGCTGGAGTTTTTATTTTTTAAAGGAAAACATTGTTCCCAATGAGACTTATGATTGATTGGATGTACCATGTTTGTAACCGTTGTCAAGATTAGTCAGCCGGCTGCTCTCCTTACTTATATGACAATGAATGGAAAATTCTGGCTATGCTGTCTTCATGAATGTAATAAGGAGAATGATGATAGTGAACTTATTTATATCTATCTGCTTCACAATTTGGGCTCTTGTTACAGACTGATATACAGCTGAAGCACATGAAATGTTAGTAAAGGAAAAATACAATATGCTGAAAACTATTCCTTCAGTACATGGTTAGCAGGCCACAGATACATGTTTTTTTCATCATACTGTCTATATTTAATCAGTGTCTTGTTTGCTTCTTATCATTTACATGACTGCCAATACCTGTAATTAAAGGTTAGGATCCAAACTACTTTACAATATTCCAAAGTGATAAGTCAGCCTGTTTCTTGACTTCACCACCACCCTGGGAAAGTAATGCTATCATCATTAAAATAAAGGTGGCTTTGAAGTCCTCAGAAATATTCCATGGCTGTTATACTGAGAAGTTAAATTCATTGACTCGGCCGGATAATTTTAAATAAATAAACTGCTATTGGCCAGTTTGTTATCAGGTCAGTTTGGAAACAAGTAAAGTGAGGTGTGAGGTGAGGGGAAGCATCACTTTATAGCTTCCATTATGGTTATGCTTGGAGAGCAGATCTGAAATTATCCTTTAGGTAAAATTTCTCATCTGGCATTGCCTGATATATCGGAGGCAATTTCAGTGATGCAACCCTTGTAGCTGGATGCAATCAGTTCCGTGGCTGTGAATTAAACTCTGTACAAATATTCTGAACGATCTTAGGAACAAATCTATAGAGTCTGTCAAATTCATCCACAAAGAATGAATGTTCCTTATCAGGGTCAGTTGCCACAGCTTCCAGTTCATCTTGGGCAGCCCATGCGATTCCTATTGAGTAAGCTATTACACCTGCAGGGGGGAAAATAGACCATAATGGATCAATGCCTTTTTTTAAAATTGATGCTGCATTCATATCTTAATAATAATCCAGATAGGATATGAAAAAAGAAAAGACGTATGCCTGTTCAAAAGGAGAAATGCAAGTCCCCATTACTCCACAATTGTGGTGTTTTTATTTTATTTTTAAGTGGTTTTCAAGTACACAGAACCCCATGCTGAATTTCCCATCAATTGAGAAAACAGTGAAAGGATAAAAGGAATAAAGAAACTTGAATTTGGTGTAACCGAAGAGCAATTTCCCACCCACTGTAACTTATACTAAGTAAAGTTGTGCTATGCTTTCAATCCAAAATTGATCTGCTCCCAATTCAGCATTTTCCAAAAGAAGCGGTGTCTTTTCTTAGACACTTCCTCCATTTAAATGATTTCCCCCCCTGCAATTGCCCAGTTACTATGTCAGCAATTTGTTTAAGGAGTTGACAATATACATACTATACACAGCATAAGATATTCCAGGCCAGCCATGCCTAAAGGAACTAAATCTTCAACAATTCCACCTAACTCAATTAAACTTGGTCCTCATGCGATCCAAGAATGGTCTGTCAATTATAGCTGCGGGGAATTGGGAATGCTAAACTTAATCCTAACTTGGACTTCTGGGTGGCTTAATTTAAATGCCCTCTTCAGATCAAAAGCCTTAGACCTGGCTAAACCTTTCTGAAACGAAAATGTAATAACAGGTGGTTACCATTTTGGTGTGCTGCTAAAGCTGGTCCCCTGACATCATCGTACGATCTGCCATCTGTAATCAAAATCATGATTTTCCGCTTGTTGGGTTTGGATTTGCTGAAGAGCTGCTCAAAGGCGAAGTTGATGGCTGCTCCAGTGCTGGTTCCTCCACTCCAATAGTTGATTCTCTTGATAGCATTTAGCACCTCCTGCTTAGTGCTGTGCTTGTTAAAGTCAAATTCCAGCCTTTGTTCATAAGTGTACTGCACAGCTCCAATCCGGGTATCTGTATCAGAAATCTCAAACTCTTTGCTAATATTGGCTACAAATTGCAGAATGGTGCGGAAGTTGCCTGTGCCAACGCTGCTAGATCCGTCAATGACAAACCCAATGTCGGCTGAATTTAGGCAGGTTTTGCTGCAAGCCAGACGGTCAACATCACAGACTCGTTTCACTAAAGGCTGCACTACTTTGTACAAGGTAAACCAACTGGTGACATGAATAGAATAGTATCCATTGGTCCTGCATACAGCCTAAATGATAGAATTTAAAAAATAATAAAAGCTTTATACCATAAGTGGATCACATGGAATCTTCAAAAATTACTGTAGTAGACACCCTGATTTCCCTCTGTTTACATGATTTTTGCTCAAGAGTATAATTTCCAGAAAATAAATTTATACGTTTCTAGGTTTAATCTTGTAATATCACTGATCTGGAATTATTCCAGTTTGCAGTTGGTCTCCATCAGTGTTCTAAGATCTGAAAACAGCATTATAGTTTTAAAATAGCTTTCTACAAGCAAGAGGATCCAGATTGATGGGGCAATAGGCTACATTTGTAAACCTCTCAGAGAGTGCTGTATAGTCAGAGCTATTCAGCCACTTCAGACAGATTCTGGAGAATTGGTAGCAGAAATTTTGAGTAGTTTGGAGAACCGACAAATACCACCTCTGGTTGGCCCCGGCCTCATCTATTCGCTGCCTCCTGATCAGCTAGGTCTTCTTTTGTTGCCCTGCACAGGAAAATGGAGCTGGAAAGCAGGTTAGTGGGGTGGGGAGGGGATGGAGATTTTACAGTATCTTTCCCCTACCATGCCTACCAAGCCACACTACGCCCACTAAGCCACGCCCACAGAACCGGTAGTAATACCACCACTGTAAACTACTTTGGAGTGGTATGTAAGTCTAAGTGCTCTTGCTATTGCTACTGTCTTGAACTCTATAGGAATTCTTTCACACAATTTCCAGCCAGCATCACCAATGTACACATTGGGTAGGAAATTATAGGGATTGAAGTCCAATACATCTGAAGGTCCTTGGATTTTTTTTTTTTTATATGAGATCAGTTTTAATGCTGCAAAATCGGGATTTTGTCACTCATTGAGATGGGTGACTTTATAAATTGATTAAATAAATATATAGATAAATAACTTTGTTCTATTCTATGAATAGATCGCATAGTCATGCAATTCTTTACTTTGTAAAATGTAGCTACCATAAATTAGTGCATACAAATTTGTGCTGCATTCATGTCTCAGAAGGGCTCATTGTAGCTCTGCCCTAGCAAACTTAAATAAAATCAGAATTAGTTATTTGGTTGGAGCCTGTCCAACTTAAAAATCTAAAACACTTCAGAGTTCAGAAGAAATGTGTTTCATGGCAAACCTATGAGGGGAAGTGCCCAAAATGATCAGAAGGTGTGTCCAGGAAAGAAAAAGTTATTTTTGCAATTCCCAAAGACCACTTTGCTTTTTGAAGGAGACTTCCTTTGCCAAGCCTTCAAGAAGAATCCCAGCTCATAAGAATACTACTTAATTGAAAAGGCATTCTGTAAAATGCATCCAGTCTAAACTCTAGAGCTTATGAAGGCAAGTTCTAACTAAGGTACATCCAGAGCTTTCATGTGTACAGCAATAAATTCATAAATAAATCCACCTGGAGCAGAGGTGGTATTCAGCAGGTTTAAATGTAGATAGTCCTCAACTTACAAACATTCATTAGTGAGCGTTACAACGGCACTGGAAAAGGTGGCTTATGACCATTTGTCACACTTATGACTGTTGCAGCATTCTCTGGTCACATGATTAAAATGTGGATCCTTGCTTGGCAGCTGGCATTTATTTATGGTGGTTGCAGTGTCCTGGTGTCATGTGATCACTTTTTGCAAACTTCTGACAGGCAAAGTCAATGGAGAAGCCAGATTCACTTAACAACCAGGTTACTAACAAACAACTGCAGTAATTCACTTAACAACTGTCTTGCTTAGCAATGGAAATTTTAAGCTGAGTTGCAGTTGTACGTCGAAGACTATCTGTATCCACTATTCAAAAACAGTTTTCATTGGCTTTGTTTTTAAATTTAAAAAAGCATGGTATCTTTAGTGTATATTGCGTTTTCACAATGTTTGGCAGAACTGAGTCCCAGGACCGTGAAGTAATTACTTTAGCAAAACAACTATAGACTGTTCTTGTCTGATTCTGCCATATGTGGCAAAGTAATCAGACCTCGTATTTTCCCACAATAATACCTGCACACTCCAAAATCTGCCACTTTCCCCTTACCTTGTCCACAAAGTTTGTCTCAATGACATTTTTCTTTTCATTTTCATCGGGTCCTTCAATGGTGACAAAGAAAATGTTAATGCCAGACTCCCGTGCCAGCCTGGAGGCTTCTTCTACCTTATCGGTGGGCCATCCATCCACCAACACTACAGCCACATTGGGGGCACTTCCTCGGTTGCCGTTGGCATCTTCAAAGTAGTTTTTGTTAATAAAGGACAAAGCTTTTCCTATGGGAGAGGGTGGCAGAGGAAAAAGAATTGTTCATTTGTTTAGTAAATCTTGAAAAAGCTAGTTCCTATTTATTTATTTGGCATTGTATTGGACGTTATTAAGACTAAAAATGATAAAATGGAGGACAGAAGCAAACCCCAACCAAAAAAACCCCCAAAGCCAATATCAAGATGCAGCAGATCAGTAGGAAGCTTCTTATTGTCAGGATCAATTAGATGTAAAGCAATTATCTGCACTGTATTTTTGATAGGAATACATGCTCTGGTTGAAATGTAAATAGAAATAGCATTCATCCTGAAACAACAGCTGAAATAAAACTTCTGCCTACATTATGATGGAAATATTCGTATCCATTAAAAACACATGATGCAAATATTTTTCTCGACCAAATGTGTCTGAGACTACAGATGTATATCAAGTTCACTTACATATCTAATCCAGTTGCCTCTTGAAAAAGCACCTTTGGGACATCCATTACCCGGATGACTGAGAATCTCCATATATATCTAATAATCCATTCTGATTTTATAGAAATTACTTGGATTTCTGGCAAGATGAATGACTCTACAATATCTGCATGATAAACTTTAGAAACTGGAAAATAATACAGTTTTAGCATCTTATTGTTTGAAATCCTAGGCCAATAAATGGTGAAGCCAAATACTGATGAGTTTCCTAATACAGTATAGTGGAATAGCAGTGTATCTTTACATTGACTCCTTCTTTCAGAATTAAACACTGTTGATTGGGGGAACATCTTTCCTCCCCCGAAATCGGAAAAGACAGTCTAGAATCAATGAAGCAGGTGATGATCTTGAACCAAATCTATCCAGAAGACGAATCAATAACCTCAGATCTTGGCATCTGATTCTTAAGCAAATTTAGTACGACACATCAGCTACCTACCAATATTAGATAAGCCTCCTTTTTGGGATATTTTCTCAATGGCATTTTTTAAGTCCTTGGTATTTGCATTGGCCTTCAAGTTAAATTCAGTAGAAGGATCATCGCTGTTTGCAAAACAAAGAGGAAAAAACAGGTAAAACCCAGTATTAATGGCAGTTCATTAATGAAAGTAAATACAGTCAATTTTCAGGTATTTTTTTTTCCAAACAAAGAATTATATGCACAAATAGTTCCTGAATGCTGAAGTTTATGCTTTTACTTTTCAGAGTTAAACAATTAGATTTTCATGGGTAATTTGTAGAGATGATTTTTTAAAGCAGAAAATAAAACTTGCTGTATAATAAACAATTAAAAAATAGTTTACTATTAATCATTACTAATAATTTGCTGTGAATTATTAATAGTAATAATTAATAGCAATAGGAAATCATTAATAATAAATTGTTCAAATTGTTTAATAATTCATATTGAATTAGTAGTTTACTATTTGCTTCCATCTGCTAATTCCATCTTGTTCAGGCTTTCAAATAACTGGAAATCAGCTCTTTGGTTTAATAAAGGCATACCTACTTAATTTTACATAAGTTTATCAGTAGTCTATTGTTTTTGTTTTCATGTTGGAACTTGAGATGGTTCTTCCTCAAGGTATCTAATTAAACTTTCTGAACCCATTATCACCTGAGTCAAAAACATAGCATGACCCATATTTCGTCTCTAAGAGATTAGTGTGTCATGTGGCACATAGCTCTCCATGAACTCTGATTGCATGGACTAACTTTCCTTCCCTTCCCATTAGTTAGAACCCTTATATCTCTGAAACATATCCAGGAAAATATAACATTATATAAAGATCAAATTTAAATTAAATTTTGGATAGCTAGAATTGGGCACTAATCTATCTAATTTTATATATATATATCCACCCCCCATGATGCATATTTATTATTTCAATACACTCATAATATAAATAAAATGAAATATAAATAAAATGAATAATTTGAAAATAAGCTATCCCAAATCAGCAATATTCAAAGAAAAAAAATACTGAGCATGTGCGAGTTGCCCAATCTGCTACATCTTTTATGCCATTCTGCTACATCTTTTATGCCATTCTACTGGAACTCTTGGATATATTTGATTACTGCCAAAGGCAGAACGTTAATTTATGACACTTTTTTTTTTTGCTTTGACCTTCCTGAAGGGTTGCGTCTACTTTTAGAGTATATTTAATACACAATAGAAGAAATGAATGCCCACCTCATCCCATTATTGACCAATGGTCTGTTATGATCTGTTAGCAAATCTAAAGTCAGATAATCTCCTAAATCCATAAAAATTCATGAAATAGGATTTAGAAAAGGACTTAACTTTATTGGTATTTATTTTTGTAGGGGCTTGTATATATATATATATATATATATATATATTTGTTTTCTGAGGTTCTCGCGGGTATTTGTATGTGGATCTTGAAAATCCCCTGCACTGCCTGCCCCACCACATACATTGGACAAACTAACAGAAAAATAAGTGCACGCATTGAAGAACATAAGAACTCAATCAAAAAAGAAGAAACAACCTCTTCCCTGGTCCAACACCTCAAAACCACAGGACATGAGATTGACTTTAAAAATACCAGAACCATCGCCAAAACCGAACACTTCAACAACAGAATAATCAGAGAAGCCATAGAGATAGAAAAACGCCCACACAGCATGAACAAACAAGATGACACCTCCCGCCTTCCAGCCATTTGGAAACCCGCCCTCATGAACAGATGAGTACCTAACATGACGAATGACACCAGACCCACACCCATGAGAGCCACACAAGATGCCACCACCACACTTCCATGTAGAAAACAGACTCACACCCACTCAGAAGATGAGACATGACCACGGACCAGAAGCCGCACTGCAGCTGCATCACTACCCACTTCAAACCCCTCCGAGCCATACATGAAGCAAACCGACACCCACTATGAAGATGCAGCACGACCACGAACTCGAAGCCAAACAGCAAGATCACAGCTCACCAACTCAAATCCCCCAGCAACTAAGACTAACCTGAGCACAACCAAGACCCCACCTGAACAGAACACGCCTCCAGCCAATCAGAACACGACCAACCCCCCAACCAATCAGAACACAGCCAAACCCCCCACCAATGAGAACACCCCCCCACCCAATCAGAACACAGCCAAGCCCCCACCCAATCAAGTCACACCCCCACTAGCAGTTAAAAGGAAGAAGCAGCTGCAATCTCACATCACTCAGAGAAGCACAGAGCCGAAGACAGAAGCCTGAAGATGATGAATGAGACTTCATCGAAACGTTGCCTAGATACTTCGAATCTTACGCGGGAGAAAACCCGAACAACCAAAGATCCACATATATATATATATGTGTGTGTGTGTGTGTGTGTGTGTGTGTGTATATGTGTATATGTGTATATATGTATATGTATATGTATATGTGTATATATGTATGTATATGTGTGTATGTGTGTGTGTGTTTGTGTGTGTATATGATACACATTCTAAAATCTATATTATCTTCTTAAATATATGGTTTTTATAAAAACAATGCACTATTACCCATACTGAACAATGCCCATGAGAGGCCCTATTGGGCCAACATCCAAAGCTTGAGATACATCCTTGAGGAACTGTTTCTGGATCTGAAAACGGCGCCTGCCGATGCTCCAGCTGCCATCCATCAAGAAGGCTAAGTCAACTTTGCAATCTAGGAAAATAAATTAGATACATTAAAATATATCTTAGAGGAGTTTGGGACCGTTTGTATTATATGTTCTATGTTCAAAAGATCATAACACCTCATTTATCTCTCAAATGCTTTGCCAATCATTTGTGGTTATAGTCATGATTGCAAGTATTCACAGAAGACAGAAGATGCAGGGCAACCAAGATTGCCTCAAGTAGCACTTACAGTCCCTAATTTCACTGGACGTGTTAGAGCAATAAGCTGCCATCCAAGTAACTCTTTCATGGCCTCTCTTCTAATCCTGGTATCCTGGTATCTTTTTTTGTGACCAACAGCGAAATCGAAGGGCCATACAAAAGCTTCAAGTGAGTACTAGATCTTTTGAGCACATAAGGGGTAGTCACAGACATTGAAGTAATTAATGCTTATTCAGAAAAAAATGAGAGTTGGATCCAGAGTCACTTAGAGAACTATTGGTTTGACTTTTTTTAGAAGGAACAAAAAAAGGAGAAAATGATTTCTTTATCCCTGTTGTACCCTGAAGGTTCTTCTGAATTTTCACACAACATGGGAAGTAAAACAAAGACTGCAGGGGAAAGGAGAAACCAATATTGTTTCTGTTGGATTTTCCTACTCTTTGAATAATTAATCTGCCTGCAGCCTCTTAGAGTTGTGGGTGTGAGCTTTTAAACTATCTATGCTTTATACCTACTAATAGGAAGAATGCTATGGTTTTTTTTCTTACTTTCTTCTGACTTTCTAAAGATGGAGGTTACTTGTTCATGCCATTCAGTTCACCCATGAATAGAATGAAGTTTAGTCCGAGAATAGCTTAGCTATGTAACACAGTTTTATTGTGGTGTACATCACCCAAAGCCCTTCTCTGATTGATGTACACAGTTAAGAAGTATGAAATATGGGAAGAGAGAATGTATTGGAAAAGACCCTGATGTTGGAAAAGATTGAAGGCAAAAGCAAAAGGGGATAAGAGAGAATAAGATTGGTTAAATAGTGTCATTGATGCAAGGAACATGAATTGGCCAAAGTCTGGGAGACAGTGGGGGACAGGGTAGACTAGTGTTCTATGGTCCATGGGGTCGCAACTCAGTGATTGAACAACAAATAAATAAATAAATAAATATCTTAAATACATGTATTTCCACTAATCTTATTATATGGATAATATAATTCTGAATAAAAAAGTCATTCCTTCTCTCTCTCTCTTTATAGTAACCAAACTGATTATTATCAGATAGTACCTTCATCATTTATTGTTATCACTGCAAACTAGTGAAAAAAAAATCTGCATTTATTAATAAAATAAAATATCACCATTTGAATAAAGCTGAATGGAAATTAATTTGTCTCCACCAGTAGTTCTGCTAGATTTCTCTTTGACACCATTGCTCCCACACACCCAAGAAGCAGATTTCATTCATGAAATGCCAAACCAATAAAATGTTCTTCTCTTTGTCCACTAAAAACAAACGATTATGAAAGGACCTAAATACATTTTTGATTCACATACTTGGATTTCCCTGGGAAACTGGCTTCAAAGTCTTTGGGACTATGTCTTCCTTGGAGTTGAAACCTAGAATGATCAATGTTATATATTATTAAATTTGAAGGTCAGGAGAGAGGAGACATTCACATCAAACATCAGTCTGCTAATTGAATGATGAACAAAGAAAGGGTGGAAATACCTTCAGATGCTTGATTCAGCACAGAAAGGGAAAATGTTTTAAACAAGAGTGAACTCCTGTCAGTGTCCAGATAAGATGGAAGAATTCAGTTGTAAAGCATAGGTCCAGTTATGCCTTGGTACAACTTCCTTGGAGAGCTCAGAAAGCTTTACAGTCCAGTGTTTTCAACCTATTTTATATTAAGTCCCATCACTCGCTTTCAAAGAAACTGGGTCTCAACAAGATAGAGGCAAAAAAGTTATTGGTGCAGGTAATCGTTGCCTTACAATCACAATTGGGATCAGACTTTCAGTTGCTAAGCAATGCAGTTGTTAATCACATGATTGGACCCAATTTTTACAACTATTTTACCACATTTATTACAGGAGTACCTGCAGTTTTTAAAGGAATCCTGCTTCCCCCATTGACTTTACTTGTTGGAAGCCAGCAGGGCAAGTTGCAAATCAGGATCCCATTACCCCAACGATCATAAAATGCAATCACATGACCATGGAGATGATGTGATGGTTGTAATGGAACTTTGAGGACAGGTTGTAAGTCACTTTTTCTGAGGGTGTTGTTATTTCGAATTGCTGTTACACAAATAAATCACAAGTCAGGGCTAGCTGCATTACATTTTTCTGTATAAGTGAAATGTTAGGAACTTAAGCTAAAATTTCAGTGACGTCGGATGCGTCCTAACTACACTGTTTCTGAATGCACCTGTGGCATGTTTACCACCTAGCTGAGAAACAGCCCCATAGTACATGTATTATGTAGTACATTGCTGGATGTGCAGGCCAAATGAGGAATTCTATATTCTTCACCTACTGAATGAGGCTATCCCTGGAGACGCACTGTTGAGGTAATTCCCCATTAGGAGAATGAGCGCATACAGGGAGACATATTTGAGAGAAGTGTTTGAATAATACAGAGCACACAGATAGACTGTACAGTAAATGTAGGTTTTTACTTCCAGAAAGGTTTAAGCAAAGTCCAAAATAAGCAGTCCAAAAGTCATTCACAGGTAAATCAGTCAGTTTTTCAATCCAGGGATAATCCAAATATCAAATTCCAGTGTCAAAAACAGTTCAGTAACAGACTTACATTAAATCCAGTAATATCAGTCAATTAGAAGAAATGGAGCAGTCAACAGAAGGAAACAGAGATACACTTACACTCTCTTCTGAGACTCAGACTAAAACAACCCAGGTTTCTGGCTCCATCTTATGGCTGTTTGAGAAACCACACCCAATTGCATGCTCTTGCATTCCCTTAAAGATATAACACTAAAATCTTTATCCTGGTTTATATATTTCTAACTCAAATACCTGTTAGATGACTTACATTCCTAACATGCACTGGCAGCACAAGTGGACACAGACCCTCCCACACCAATTAAGTGAGTCAGCCTTATGGTATCTCGCAATACCAATCCTTAAATGCTGCACAATTTGTGTGCCTATTTGCAACCTCTTGGCTCCCCTTTAAAGTGCTGACTTTACCCCTAAAAGCCTGAAGATCCCCAGAGCTTAAAAGACTATCATGGGAGAAGGGGGCAGGGGAAAGACACATTTTGCTACTACAAGTTGGGAAACACAATTCTTTTTTGAAACCCAGACAACACAGAGCATCTTGGGTTCGCAGGTTAATTATGAAGTTCTTATGGAGAGTTGAGGCTTTTAAAAAATATTTTCACCAATTCTGCTTGCATTATCATAGACATGGCTCTCTTTTTAAAAATGTAAATTTATGGAAAGTTTTAAAAGCAAGAGCAAAAATCCATTCAAAGTAAAATAGAGTGAGAAGGAGGGGAAAGGAGAAAATAAAAGAGAAAGTTAAAGTGCAAATAAAAGGAAAGAAAAAAGGTGGAAGAAAATTAGAAAAGAAAGAAAAAACATATAGAGAATTGACTTCTTATCTTTTTTCATAGCAGTAATGACTAAAATTACAGGTCTACTTCTTTCTATCCTGTCTGGTTGTCAAAACCATTAGTTCATTTTTTTCTATTTTATTTTTTTTTAAAGTCACAAGTCAGCGCTAAACACAAATATTGCCTTTTCTCTAATCAAAAGGTCAATCTGGTCACCTCAGCAACTTCTATCCTCTTCACCAAATCACAGACAAGGCTTCCAATGTTGCCTTGAAAGCTGGCTATCCAACCTCTGAACAGGAAGGCCACCCAATGTGCATTTCTCAGAGCTGATTGAAAAGGTTGCTGTTTCCAGGGAGGCCTGCAAGGTTCCCAGGCTTTCTTTAAAATGGCATTGTCAAGTCCTGAGAATCTCAGCTCATTGACGTGGGACTTTGCAGCAAGCTAATTAAGCTTTTTCACCACCAGATTGTCACAGCTGTCCAGGCTCATTAAATCTCTGTTCAGGCAACAGTTGTCTCATACCAACTAAAAATAATTCTCTTTGAAATGATAATTGGCACACATCAAACAATCACTGGGCCAACTTTGTATTTGCATTCTGGGCTCTTGGAAATCCTCTGTCGTGGTAGCTCCCTCTATCTAACATGGAAATTTTTTTTGCAATGAATCACTTTCTATCCCTTGTGAAGCATCTGTTGGCTTGTACAGTTTATTTCCTAATACTGACAATCTTCTAAAATGATTGGAACATCAATGGATGCTTTGGCCAAAACAAAGAAACGCAAACACAAATTGAGGACTTTTGTGTGCTTGTGCACACTCTTTGTGTATTTCCAACACCGGGCATTAATTTGTAACATGCAACTATCTGAAAGAAGAAAACCTAGAATAATCTCATTTTACCTTATGCACTGGGTGAATTCAGCCTGTATGCCAAATGAGCCCTGAAAGTACTTTTTCAGTGGGGATCCATAAATGAAAATTGATCAGCTGATCAAGAGTGGGTAGTACAGTATACATCTAATTCAAAGCACTTTAATTTACTGTTTCACACTATCTGACATATTTGGTTATATGGCTTGATTTGCATATAGTTTTATGAACTGAGTGGAACATAAGACTCAAAAGAATCTTATCTCATCATCCTATGTAAGGAACTTCACCATAACGAAAAATAAATGCTTGTATTTCCTGCACACATGATATATGCACACTCGTTGCACATTGTTACTGCTTAATTGACTTTGTGGAAAGATTTTTACCTGGGTCCAAAAGGCTTGATCCAGACTTCCATGCATCTGTTTCAGTAGCTATTATGGACAAAAGACAAACATAATTATCAAACTCACAAATTAATCTTAAACTAATGGAAAAAATATTATATCTTAAGAAATACATAATTTTGTTGAAATAATGCAAAATAGAAGAATTGTTAGGAATATAAGTCACCTAACAGGTATTTGGGTTAGAAATATATAAACCAGGATAAATATTTTAAAACTGTATCTTTAAGAAAATGCAAAACTGTAATTAGGTGTGGTTTCTCAAACGGCCATAAGATGGAGCCAGAAACCTGGTTTGTCTTAGTCTGAGTCTCAGAAGAGAGTGTGAGTGTATCTCTGTTTCCTTCTGTTGGAAAGTATTGCTGTTCCTCCATTTTTCCTAATTGACTGATATTTCTGGATTTAATGTAAGTCTGATACTGAACTGTTTTTGACACTGGAATTTTTTATTGGATTATCCCTGGATTGAAAAACTGTCTGATTTACCTATGAATGACTTTGGACTGCTTATCTTGAACTTTGCTTAAACTTTCTGGAAGTAAAAACCTACATTTACTGTACAGTGTATCTGTGTACTGTGTGTGTGTTATTCAAACACTACTCTCTATACGTCTCCCTGTATGCGCTCATTCTCCTAAAGGGGAATTACCTCAAAAAGAGTACCAATAAAATAAACCCTGCCTTAAGTTTATTTTGAGAGGCCATTTCTGGCTGTCACAAAAATTCTTGGAATTTTTAGAATTTAGAAAATTTAGAAAATTTACTAGGAAGTAATAACAAGGAATTTTTCAAGCAAGTATATTAAGATAGTTTTACTTTTAGGAATATGAGTTCTTTCTAAGAAAATAAAAAATAATAATAAAAGCTTTATCTATTTTAGGATGAAGAATAGTTCTGTTACTTGTGTAGCCACAAGCCTTAAAGTATTTTACTGATCAGTTAATCAATAAACTGTAATATTCTCTTAATTAGAAAATCCATTGAATTAGGACATACCTTGATTTTGAGTTCTTCCTTGCGCAGCTTGAACTTGCCCTAAAATAGGAATTGAGATAGAATATTTTATTTGAAGTTTTGCAAACTTTGTAAAAAGTTTTTTTTTTAAAAAAAAGGATTGATTTTGCCACTTTGAAAGTTGAAAATGCTTGTGTTAATTCTTTAAACTAAAGCTGTGATGGTGCAGTGATTAGAATGCAGTATTGCAGGCTTATTCTGCCAACTGCCAGGAGGTCACTCCTGACCCGTTCAAGATTGACTCAGCCTTCCATCCTCGGTAAAATGAAGATCCAGATTGTTTGGGGCATTAAGTTTAGTCTGTAAGCCACTTGGGGCTGTAAAGCACTATAAAGCAATATATGTCTAACTGCTATTGTTATATTATAGATATAATTCAAATTTTAGTACTTTCTTTTCTACTGAATGAAATCAATTTAAAATAGGTTTTAGTAAAGCCACACCCTGTCTTGGTACTTACTTGATAATGATGCTGCTGCCACCGCTGAATAAACTGGATGGACATTACTAGAGCCTAAGAACGAACAAGAAAATATCTTACTACTGAGAACAAAAGCACAAGAATGGTAGTGTGTGAAACAAGCTGATGGGGGCAGCAGGGAAAAAGAGTTAAAGCATAAATATCAGCCTAGATATTTTAATTCTGGATATATTTTTCACTTCTTGGTGACTTAATGAATACAATCATGCAATTTTCTTAGTAACAATACTGAAGGGATATTTGATCCCTAAAGAAATGGGAAATAAATGGTGAAGTGAAATAATGCGTACACATGTGCAAAGTGTGTGTGTGTACACAAAGTGCACCCTCCAAGCCACGCCCACCAAACCAGTGATAAATTTTTTTGAAACACATCACTGGTGCTCTTGTAATTTCAATGGTCACTAAGTGAACTTTTGTAAGCTGAGGACTACTGTAGTTGTGCCAGAAGAAAGGCCACACACTGTACTTCTCATTAATATCATTTCACTAGAATAAATGGAATAAAAAATACATTAAAACAGAATTTAAAAAGAAAAAAGATATTCACATCCCTAGCAGAGTTTTTTTCAGATAGAACATGCAGAGCCTAGATTATTAAAGGATTTTTGGGCAGAGTGCAGAAAAGTACTGGATTTGAATGAAGGAACTGAGATTGAACCTAAAGAAGATGAAGATTATTGGCCATCTTAATCAAGAACTGGAAGTACAGTTGTATCTAAAAAGTTTAAGCCCTCTGATCAAGAGTGTCCCAAAGTTTAGAAAATGAGTAAATGATGCGGCTAAAAAGAAGTGGTTATATCAACCATGAAGTATAAAAGAAGCATAAAAGTTTGGGAATGGCCTCTGTTTGGAGGTCTGAAACATGCAGTGCATGGATGGAGAGCTATGGGTATTTCTGAATGAAAAGAATTGTGTAAGGTTGAAACATTTTTTAAATCCACAGTGAGGTAACATTTAGAAGACTCAGACATTTCTCTATTTCATTGAACTATAAGAAGTAGGAGGAGATAGAGCACCCTCAGACTTGCAAGATTCGGAACAATCTTTTGTGGAGATGAGATGATGAGATGAGATGAGAAGAGAATGGTGTTGAGGAGGCAGATCTAGAAATATGTTCCATTGCCCTATTGAATTGGGTTATTAAACAGCTTAGATTGTGAAGCTCTTCTCATTCCACTCACCCAGATCCCTGACCTTGTGCACTGCAATGAGAGGCTTTGCCACTGTAACAGTTGTCACTTTGGTGAAGGTCATCGGTGCAATGGTGGTTGAAGTGGTGGTTGTCTTTGGAGTTGTGCTGACAAATCCGGTTGTGGTCGTAAAGGGTTTGAATGTGCGAGTGGCACCATGTGTAGCTGGTAATGGAGCAGCAGATGTCTGAGATCCTTTCCGTAATGAATTTCCTATATTGTGGTTGAAATATAGCATCTCACTTTAGAAAAAAAGCACTTTCTTTAATAGCTTTGCCCTCCATGTGTGCCAGCTAACATAATTAGGTTGGATTTCAGCTGTAGGTTGGGGGACAGCAGTAGATAAAGGTACAATGTGATCTACATGAAAACAGCTAGAACTAAGAGAAGTCCCTCATAAGCAGAAACTCATGAGAAAGATGTTGTGCTCAGCAGTCCAGCCGTCAACCAGCACTTTCATTTGCAATGGTTTGTGCTTTCAAAGTATTTTGTATCAAGATTGCTCTTCTTAGTAAAAACAATAAAATAAACAAATGTTCTGACTATGTGTGTATAGATATACATGTAGTCAAACTGGGGCCTGAATATAAATAAGTAAAATGTAAAATAATTTAGAAAAAAAATAATGTAATGATGGGTAATTTTGAGGGTAAAGATTCATTCTCTGAGCTTGTGGGTTGGTTTCCAAACATTTCATTACCAGGCTATCAGCAGAGTTTAGGGGATGTCAGTGTTCTGCTCAGGTGTGGGTGTGTCAATTGAGGGTCTTGTGATAGGTCTTGTGATAAGTCAGCTGTCTCATGAAAAAAGGGAGCCCAGAAAAGTTGTTCAACAGTGTCAAAAATAGCTCAAACTTGCATTGCAGATATAAATTAGAACAGTATAATCATGATGAAGATTGCTAGTGCCTGAAGATCATGCATTAAATTTTACTTCAAAACATGGTGAAAAACTCACCCCCAAAGCAGGAAGCATTGGAAAGGATCCAGACAATAATTTTACAGTATTAATTCCAAAGCTAGAAAGATATAACAAATCCCTGGTCTCTAGCCTTCCAATAAGCAAAGACCAAGAACTACAAAATGACATGTATGAAATATTGATCACAAACCGTTGGAACATACAGATATGCTAGCAGAAGTTTCCAAATACAAAATGGATGGCTTTATATTTGAGAAGGAAAAAATAAACCAAAAAGGTTAAGATAGGGCAGGGGTGATCAAACTTGTGGCGTCACACTGTCATCACAATTTTTCCCCTTCACTAAAATGTAGGATGGTGGTGGGCATGGCCAGCTCATGATGCATCCAGCCTGTGGGCTGAAAGTTTGACACCCCTGACATAGGATGTCGTTGAAGCCACAAAATTAGTAAAGGCACATTCCTAGAAATGAGATTTTGTATCTTTGCTACATGAGTTGGGTCAAGGCCTTGATGATGAGAGTAAGAGGCTGACCCTACAACTGGGGTCAGTAAAGTATGAGGAGGGGCAGAGTAACATAAATCCTTGAATTTTATTTCTCAGGCCATAAACTCTGGTCAGTTAATCATTACCAGGCACAGATTTGTGCAATAATTTAAATTTTTTTTCAAATAAACCATGTTAAATGATGAATACATAAAGGGGCATTAAAGAAACATGTATAATATTATACTTGTATAAATTAGCATAAATATGGTTACAAACTGATCCTGCTTAAGTTCTTAACCCAAGTAACCACAACATGGAGAAACAATAATACACCCTCTAGCAGAAAATCCATCACTTGCCTTTAGTGACTGTGCTTTCAGAAGACGAATAGGTCAGAATTGATGGGTACTGCACACCTCTTTTGGGCTTGCCTTCTAAAGAAAACAAAACCAAAAGCTCCAGTCAGTGAACATATGATCATACGATCATAAAAGCACTTACAATTTTAAGTCAGCAGGTAAGGAGTTGAGGACTGCATCAGCTGTGCATGGTATATTAAGAACTTGGCACTTGTATTCAATGATGTCACATATGATTATGTCAAACACAAATGATATCAATTATGGATTTAGTTTGGTTAACACAAATTGCACCACTGACCCCATTTACACAAGGGGGCAGTTATTCCACTTTGGTTTCCTCATGAACACCATGATTCACGAGATCATAACCCTAAGGAATTGAAGCAAGCAAGGTCTAGGAGAAGACCCTTTTCTGCTGTAGCCCCATCCCTGTGGAATATTCTATCACTGGCAGTGAGAACTTCCCTCTCTTTTGGTCTTCCAGAAGGGTGTCAAAATCTGGCTTTGTCGGCTGGTCTAGGACCTCAAGAGGTCACGGCTGGAGGTGGCTGGTGGAGTAAAGAAGACTTTATCCCTTTTCCATCCAACTCTTAGCTCTCTTGGTTCAGTTTTAATATAAATCTTAATAATATTTTAACTCTGTGTTCTTTTAATATTTTAACTATTATTTATTTGTTTTATAACCTCTAAGCTGCCCAGAGTCACCTTGAAGAGGAAATGGGCAGCAGAACATTTAAATAAATAAATAAATAAAATTTTCAACCTTTACATGGTTGGCTTCATCTACTATCCGAAACAAAAAACTTACAAACTGCATTCTAGAACTGTGTGATATTTGAATCTACCCAAGGTATCTCTAACTACAGAAGAACGGTGCTGTATTTGTAGTTAGAGTATTTGAAAACTTTTAGGCACTGAATTTGTTGTCCAGTGTCTTTTTTTAAAAAAATCAAGAAATGAAAACTTTCAGTTGGTCCCATATTGTGATATTTGCTATTGAACTATATATTTTTATTTATTTATTTTAAAAGACCTATAAAGCAGTCCATATTGTAACACAAACCTGGGATTCACACAAAACATTAACCTCTCCACCAATCAGAATAAAAACTATAAAAATACATGGTCCCCTTAGGTAATGCTCTCCCATATTTCCACAAATTAATAACTTTATATTAACAACTTAAATAACAAGGGGAAACAGTTTTAGGAATGTTAATGTGACTTTTCTTGTGCATTTTTACTTAGTTTTCTGGTTCTCCCTTAACAAATGTAGCTTTACGGAGTTTAGTGACTAAAAGCAAAGACTTTAACATCCTACTTTTTCAGCTATTTTAATTGGTTTCTTTGCATTATGTTTTTTAATTCTCTCTATGTCTGGAACCAGAGGTATTTCATTTTGATCATATAATCATAGTTGGAAGGGATCTTGTAGGTCATCTAGTCCAAACCCCCTGTCCAAGTAGGAAAACCTACACCATTTCTGACAAATGGCAGTCCAATCTCTTCTTGAAAGTCTCAAGTGATGGCGCTCCCACAACTTCCGAGGGCAAGCTGTTCCATTGGTTGATTGTTCTCATTGTCAGAAAGTTTCTCCTTATTTCCAGGTTGAATCTCTCCTTGTTCAGTTTCCATCCATTATTCCTTGTCTGGCCTTCAGGTGATTTAGAAAATAGCTTGACCCCTTCCTCTCTGTGGTAGCCCCTCAAATATTGGAAGACTGCTATAATGTTTTCCCTGGTCCTTCTCTTCACTAGATTAGCCATGCCCAGTTCCTGTAACCATTCTTCATTACGTATAGCTATAGATCTTAACAGTTATTAATTAAATGTGGTCTGTATATACTGTACATATATATGTTTTCTTAAGTTTTCATGATGGCAGATGAGATTCTGCTGAAACGTCGCTACAACTTTAAAAGCACAACTACTATGATGTGGGAAAATACCCGAGCAAAGCCGAATGCCATACATGTATGTATGTATGTATGTATGTATGTATATATATATATATATATATATATATATATATATATACACACACACACACACACACACACACACACACACACACACACACACGTATACATCAGGGGTGGGATTCAACCGGTGTTACTACTGGTTTGGTGACTACATTTTGTGCAAAGCAGCTGAGGTTGATAAAGCAGGAAAAAAAGGTCAGGTAAGAGCCCAGGCAGGCAGGTGGACCAAACAGCAGCAAACACAAAACCGATTCTGTGTCTACTGCTCTTCAGAGTACCAGTTCTTTAGAACTGAGCAGAACTGGTAACATCCCACCCCTGATATACATATGTGTATGTATAAACACATTTAATTGCAGGATCAGAAGCCATGGAGAGACCTAACCAGTGGTGGTATTCTACCAGTTTGGCATGGTTCAGCTGAACCAGTAACTCCGAGACTCATGTGTGAGTGAACCAGTTTGCTCTGATGATCAGCTGCTGGACCAGCCTGCCCTCTCGCCCTGGCTCTTACCTGACCTTTATTTCCTGGTTTTCATGCTCAGCTGCACAGTGGATTGCCATGCATCAGCTGTTTTACACACAGGGCTTCCAGCAGAAGGTGAGTTGCAGGCCCTACCGAACCAGTAGGGAATTTTTTTTGAAACCCACCATTGGACCTGACCCATAGAACTACCAAGAGTCAGTTATGACTGATTGGATAACGTCATCATCATATATAATATAGATTTATAGACCTACTAAATATTCATCAGCCACACTGATTTGCTGCTCCATACCTCTTGACTAGATCCTATCTGTACATTTGAACGGAAGCTGTTTTATTGATCCTCTTATTTTCCAAAGTGGTGGTTATGTAATGTTTTTATATTCTTTTAGCCATCTGTTATTATCATGAGAGAGCCAAAAATAAAAGTCAATTTACTGGAGATAGTTTACTGAAGAAGCTGCTAAAAAAAGTAAATGTGCCTACTGCACTAGTTTTAAAAAAAATATGGAAACTAAAAATAGTTTGTTTCAATTTGCTAAACTCATCTGGAAGGCACTCATCATCCCCAAAGTTAGGATTAATATTTGGAAATGTTTTGTCTTGAATACTGAGCTCATACAGTCTTAATTTAACTCCCAATTTGTGTGTTTAAGAAGCTCAGCTACAGATTTGATGCAGATTATATGCTGTGCCAATGCTATGATTTCTCATCATAGCTTATTGTAAGCTATCTTATCTTCATCGTGATCTGACATAAAACTCAAACTGAAATCCAGGAGCTAATGTAAGGTTAAATGGGCATAGTCCTCAAAATAGCAACAATAACAACAATAACAGCAACAATAATAGCAACAATAACAACAAAAATAATAATAATAGCAACAACAACAATAACAACAACAACAATAAATATGCCAGGAAGGCTTGCTGACTACCAGAGAGACCAAACTGGCCTACAAGAAAGACCAAATGCATTACAGAATAGAAGTATGGGAAGACAAAGCACTACATGGCCAGTACATTAAAAACATAGCAGGGAAAGCAGATAATAACAAGGCCTGGCAATGGCTAAGAACTGGAAAGTTAAAGAAAGAGACCAAGGGATTAATTCTGGCTGTGCAAGACCAAGCCTTAAGGACAAACGTATACAAAGCCCGAATTGAGAAGACAGGAACAGACAGTAAGTGCCACCTATGTAAAGAAGCTGAAGAAACAGTGGACCACCTGGTAAGCTGCTGCAAGAAGATTGCACAAACTGACGACAAGCAGTGGCAAGACAAAGTAGCAACAATGGTGTGTTGGAAGATCTGCAAGAAATATCATTTGCCTGTAAGCAAGAACTGGTGGGGACCATAAAATAGAAAAAGTCATAGAAAATGAAAAAGTTGGAACTTCCGGGTTGCCAGGCTTCAGCAACAGCAGGGATTCGCGTCTCTCTGTGATCCCTGCTGTGCTCGCCATCTTGGTGCCTCCAATCCAGATGGATCTGGAGGATAAGGCTGCCCTGTAGAGGCAGCCGAAGATAGGGAGGATCTGGGAAGGGGTTTGAGGGTGTCGCAGACCCCCTCCCCACCCAGCTTAATCTCCTTTTCTCAAGGCGGTGGAGCGGCGGTCAGTGATGGCCGCCACAAAGAAGCTGGCAGCTGGAAAAGATTGTGCTGGAGGAAGAACGAGAAAGAAGATTCAGAAGTGAAAGTGCTGGCTGTGCCGGGAAAATAGCAACTTCTAAAACCTGGAGTGGAATTGTTTATTGCCTGAAAGATACATTGTATCCCTAAGAAGAGAAAAGCGGCGGAGAAAGCTGCCAAGGGAAAACTTTTTTTCTATTTACTCTCCCACCCCACAGAAACACTAAATGCAGAACTGGAAAATACTGGGCACCGAAGGTATTTTAACTTGAAAATTGTGAGAGAAAGGACTTTGGACTTTGGATTTAACATCCTCAGAAATTGGAAAGCCTGCATTGGAGGTATGGATTTCTGAGCGTTTAAAGGGAAATTGCTGTTGTAAGTGGGGGGAGAGGAAAAAAAACTTTTTGGAACAGAGCTTGAAAAAGGAGGAGATTGCCTAGAGCTTTAAAGAAAGATACATTTTAATGGGAACCTTTTGATAAATCAGTAACCCCAGAAAGAGAAACTGAAGAAGGTAAAAAAAAAAAAAGTATTGAAAGAAATAGTTTATCTGGATCTTCTAGTGACTTTGGAATTTTTTTGGAATTACTTTTGATTAAAAATATTTGGGTGGTTGTTTTTGAAGAAGTCTTTCTCTTCATGATGGCATCGCTTTTGGATGAATTAAAAACTCAATATCAAAAATATAAGAAAGAAGAGCAAGATGGAAAAGATACTTTGGGCACCCTTTTTCAATTTTTAGAAATGGCAGTATGTACCTATGAAAAATTGACTATGCAGCAGGACGACTGGAACAAAGAAGAAGAAGAAGAAGCCATTTTGGATGAGTAATGGGTTTTCTTTGGGGAGGAGGAGGAAGAGGAAAAGAAAAAGGGGATTTTAAGGGCAGAGAAAACAATCCAAAAAGAGAAAAATGAGATGAAAGGTGGATATAAGGTTAGAAAACAACAGAAAGGGGGTAAGCAGAAGAAGAAAAGGGAGGAGGAGAGACAATGGGGTAAAAAAGGCAAGGAGAAAAATAAACAAGAGAGAAAGGAGGGGATGGAAAATCTTAATGGTAGGAAGCAAGATTTAAAGAAACAAAATCTATTTAGAGACAATGGGTAAATTTAATTGAAAAAGAGATCCTGGAAGGTACATAAAAGTGTGTTTTTATATGCGTATTTAGAGTAAAATGTGTATTAGCATATATGATTAGCTTTTTTATGGTATTTATGGTGGGTTATAGGCTTTCATTTTGTAATTGTAATGTATTTGCTTTTTTTATAAAGTTTATTGTGTAATTTTAGAATGTACTAACCAGAATCTCAATATAAATTAAGTGTTATATTAAGCATTATTAAGCTAGGGAAAAGAGTCAAAGGCGTTACTCCATTTAGTGTACAGGAGAAGTATATCTAAAGAAAAAAGATGAATGGATAACTGGAAAAGAACAGACAAAGAATGATAAGTATTATGAATTGTATTGAGATAAGATAAACAAAATAAAACTAAGAAAGATAAAAGAGGGAAGAAGCTATATAAAAAATTGAAAATGGTAATAAGATATGGAATGACATATAAAGTAAATATGATTTTTGAATTTGTGTCCGTGCGAAGAGTTTTAACCCGGGATTAAGTAGTTTTCAGAAATGATGTTTTTTTTATGTTCTATGTTATGTATGTTTGTGTATTGTTTTTTTAAAAGGCAAAAATTTTGACTAGTAAGAAATATAATCTGGACAATAGAATGAAAAGGAGAAATCGGGAGAAGATACGAAGATGAGCAGATAATGTAAAGATACATATTACATCTGGCATGTTTTACTGATTCTTCCAGAAAGTTTCTTTATGTTAATATGCCTTGATTGTTTGTATGTTTTGTAAAGTCGATAAAATTCGTTTTTTTTTAAAAAAAAATCAAAAAACAAGTCAGAGGAAAATATAAATGTGATGATTGAATAGCAGATAAACTAGAAATGTTATTGAATAAGAGTAAAGAGAAACAATGTGAAATTTGTTAAAAGGAATTTATTTGTCTATATGGAAATGGGACAAATTAGAAAAATTTGATATAAAATAATGTGTTATCTGCTCTGTAAAGATTTATAATGGAAAGAGGTTTTATGTTTTTAATGTTTAATGATGTTTTGTTTTGTTTGTTTGTTGTTAAAATCAATAAAATTTGTTTAAGAAAAAAAAGAAAATGAAAAAGTTAAATTGCTCTGGGACTTCAGAATCCAGATAGATGGGCACCTGCCACATAACACCCCAGACATAACAGCTGTCAATAAGAAAGACAAAATAGGTCTGGATAGTGAATGTGCCAGTGCCTGGAGACAGCAAAAGAGAAGAGAAAGAACCGGAGAAGATAACAAAATATAAAGACCTACAAATAGAACAACTATGGCAAAGGTGAGCAAGGGTAGTACCAATAGTAATAGGCACCTTGGGTGCGGTTCCAAAACAACTGGAGCACCACTTAAACACCATAGGCATCAAATTGTGTTTGTTGATCTGAATGGATTAATTCATTTGCATTTTATTCAGACTATTTCAATTGTGTGAAAAATTGTATAAGTGAATTTACATATGTCTTAGTGCTCATCAATTGAGTTCTACTTCTGTGGGACCAATTTTCCCCCCTTACTAGTTTTTGAATCTAACAGTGTGTCGTATGTCCATAAATGTTCATTTTTGAGGAACATATTGCCAATATGTCTTCTGATTAAAATTCTGCATTCTTTTTTGTCATGTTTAGTAATTCAATAACAATTATTTCAAAAGGAATTAAATTGTTTAAGCTTTTTTATTGGCATTTTTTCTATTAACTTTTTTTCCTTTAAATTTCTTTCTGTCTTATTGTTTTTGTATTTGGAAATGCAGTGATGTAATTTTGCAGTGGAAATTTTACAGTTGTGTATTAAAACTGGAGATTTTTTTTTCTTTAGCCCTTAAGTATCATCATTCTTTGCTAAATTCACTTAAAATAAATGTTATGTAGTGAAAAGAGCTGCTAATGCCATATAAACCATATGCAATTTATTCATTGTGAAGTTTTGCTTGAAAGATCCAAGACAAAATGCTGAACTTTTGCTATTTATATGAATAAAGGCTAATAGTGAATATAATATCATCACATTTCTTATTGCTTTGATGAGCCATAAAAATAGATCTCTAAATTTAAAAATAACCCTAAAAGAAAATATTGGTAGTTGTCAAAATAATATCCTAATATTCCATATATGAGTTAACATGCTTTATGCTTTGTTGTATCAACTTCTGGCTTTGAATAATTTTATAATTTCAACAACAGCAAACCTCTTTCAGTTTTCCAGCTAAAAACTATTATATTTATTCTTGAGTGATTACTGTATAACATTTAATTGCTACCTTTCAAATCAGAGTTTCTCAGAGTTTCTTAGGTTTTTAAATAATGAGAAATGACATATAGAAAGGGGAAGGAGAAAGGAAGGAAGAATTTTACCTGAAAGTATGAAGGATTCCCTCCATCGTGGTAATGAAAGTGAGCGGATTCCATTAGAAAAACTACCCTTGTACCCAGACTGACCAGCAACTTTTTGAACTAAGATTTTTCCTCCAGAGTTGTCAATAATTCCACTGTAAAAGTAACATATTAATGTCATAAGCACATTGTTAACTTACCAGAGATCTAAGTGGTCATCGAATTACAAGCTCAATACATATACATTCAATCCACTCGGAAGAGTTGTTTCCAGCCCTTTCCTTTATTACATCATCTTCAAAAGCTTCTGTAGGTCTTCATTGAAACCAGGGAGTGACATCATGGTGTTCTAGATGCCATGGTATATATGATTTTTCAGACAATCTCCACATGATTCTAATTTAATTGTTTTTTTTTAACTGGGTTTGTCCTTCTTTCAAGTGCACTGAATTGTATATTAATTTCTCTGTGCAATCCTGAATCCATCTGACAAAGTATTTGATAATTCTAAACCTAAGAATAATTCTACTGTCAGAATATATCAAAATGAAACTCTGTAGACATTTAGATAAGTTAAGCCTAATGTATAAGAAGATGGTTCTGTGGCTCCCTAAAAGATATCTTCTACCTTGGCATTTCCAAAAAGTTATGGTTGATCATATGATCCCAGAGGGAAGAGCCTATTACCATTTTCCAGTATAAATTTGTGGAAATATCATCGCCTGTTTTTATCTATGCAATTTTCTCAAATCTACAGTTATTTCCCCATAAATCCATACCCTTTAAAACATGTTGCAAAAGTTGCCCTTTTGCTCATTAAGTGGAATTAAAGAAGACTTATTTTCCATTCTCTAAATATACACTAAGATACACTGACCTGAACTCTACTCACAATTGTTTTTTTACAGATTTGACTATAGGCTACCTCCCCCGCCCCCCAATCTTGTTTTTCCTATCTTTTGAGAGTTATACAAAAATTTTGATGAGGAAAAAAGAAACACACCTTCTTCTGACTCTTACATTTATTGCTAGTATTGAGAATGCTGGTTTTTTTTAAAAAAAATGGATGCTATTTTGAATTAAAGATCAGCTCTGCTGACCTGTGAATAGCAGCAGCACAAACACTGGAAAAAGAGGCATAGATATCAGTGCCATAAACCCGATATTTAACATCCTGACATCCCAAGGGACACTTAGCAATAAATTCTGGGTTGATGATCTTTGCAGCTTTGATGGCACACTCAATCTGTGGAACAGCTGTGAATATAAAAGTTGAATGTTATGCTTTAGTATAATCTCACAAAAGCTTTGCAGTAAACAAAGAAATGCTAGGTATTGGCTCTATTATTCATGTGTTTTTATGCCAGTTTAAAATACTCAGATATTCAACACTGAACTCTTAATCCTTAAAAATGAAAAAATAATAAAATTCCCAACTGCAGGGTATCTCCAAGGAGTTTATTCTTTCACACCCCAGTTCCAAATTGCCTAATATTCAGTGGAATAAAGTAATAATCACATCCATATTATTGATTTCATATCAAAACAATAATATTTGAATTATGCATTTATAATTCCATATATCATTGCTATAATCTAGCAATTTGATATATATTCTTCAGATCTGTTCTCTTAGCTTTTCAGATACATTGGGATTTCAACTCCCAAAATTTCATGCCATTAGCTTAGGAATTCAAAGAGTTGTCATCCAAGCATATCTGGAAGATTCTAGGATCTAGATTATTACAGAAATATGAGCAAAGTCTTCATATAAACGGTTTCATAAAGAGAGACATAATCTGATTTGAATTTGCATTAGATATCACTATGCTGTTTCTTATTCTACAGTTGTTATGTTGAAGAGTGGAAATAAAAGCAACACTATAATTATTAGCTTCTAAGAAAAACAATATTTTATAAGCATATTCGTTTAGCTGAGCATCGTCTTGGCTATTCAGTTAGTCTAAGAAGACCTTGGGTTGGATCTATCAGATTATTAACTCCCTCTCTTGTGGAATGCACATAGTTCTCTTAATCCTCCAGACTCTGATTTCCCACAAAATGAAAATGTTGGGATGGATTTTTTTGATTTAATCCCCTGAAAAATATTTCACTGTCATTTAAGAAAGAGAACGTCAAGTTTTCAAGTGACAAAAGGTATTATTCAGGTTTTGTCAAGTTTTCTTTGACAAAAGATATTATTCAGACATATTCAGGATCCAATCTGGATCAGTCACTGGGTCCAGAGGTTTAGTTTTCCAAATCATGTGTTCTGCTATTGCACTATGACTGCATCACTACATGCAGAAGATGGTAAGTTCTATCTTTATCTTTCCAAATATAATGTTGAGTAGCTGCTTGTAGACTAGTAAGAGACATTTGACATATAGATTAGGGCCGATGTGATTTATAGTCTACTGCTGATATTTATATAGGTAAGAAATGTTTAGGTGATTTTTATCCTTTCCTCTTTCAGATGTGTTGACAGTTTAGGAGTTGCCAGAAATAACATTCCATTTCCTACATTTGGCATTGCTTCCAGCCTAGCATTGCTTCATAATCAAACTATCAGTTCCATGCATATAATTATCAACTCCACTGCACAAGCCACTTTCCTTCAGACGTATTACATCCTTCTTCCTTCTATTAGCAGCCATTTTTCTTTCTTCTTTCATTTTATTTATTAATTCATGTTCTTTGCCATGTACAACATTCACATAGAAATTGAAATGCTCTTTATGACATAATTGTTAGTAGATGGGATCTTGAAAATTCACTGCATCAGTAATGGCTTTATTCTATCAAGGATAAGTAAAACCTTTGTGGTCCCAATAAATATTCCAACAAGCAAACTCAATGAGGAAGTTGGATATGTTTAAAAACCATGTGATTTACTTAATGACCACAGCATTTGCTTAACAACTGCAATAAAAGTGTTTATAAAATTGGGTTCAGTCACATGATGACTAACTTAACAAATGAATTGCTTAGTGACCAAGATTCTGATCCCAATTGTCATCATAGGTTGAGGATTGGTGCTGTTGCAAATTAAATTTGATTAGATTTCTTCCCCCATCCCTTGCCCAACCTCATCTTGTCATGTGTCTTTATTTTGCTCACAATTATTACATCTTTCCTGAACCTGAAATATTATTTACTCTGAAGGGAACAACAGGAAGCATTTGACACTCCAAAACAGTTTCAGAGTAAATGATGCATTTAGAAACAAAAGCAGCACACGGCAGTCTGGACAGGGGTGGGAAACCATTTAAGAGGGAATAGCTTATCTGAGAATTAAGATTACTGTTAATGGAAGATATTGGAAGCTACATTATTTGCTACAGAATGTGTATTCCAATATCTTTCTCAAAAGACATGGAGGAGAGTCAAAATTGAGATTATACATTTACATTGTTTTGTTTACTTACATTGTTTGGACTTCCTGTTCCTCTTTGTAGTTACTTTAGTAGCATATATACAAGTCAGCAGCAAAACTAAGACAAAATAGAAATGTAAAGACAATGCACAACAAGACGATCTCCCATGAAATAAAAAAATATTGGGATGAATGGTTTTCTGGGATTATTTATAGCTTTCTTTCAATTTTCTAAGTGAAGTAATAAGATTTTCTATTAATGTCGTTGTCTCCATTTTTTAATGTTTGATTTTCACATTTTCTGGTGTTACTACATTAATTACAAATTTTCAGAGACTCTAGCTGCCTGCATTGAGGACATTGATTTAATCTTATCTAAAGTTATGGGCTAACAAATAAAGCAGAGATTAGAAAATAGGATACATTTGGGCACTTACCAAAGGCCACTGCAACATCTGTTATTCTCTTCATGCTGAGAGAAACTGGACCTTGGAATTCTAACAGTTCACTGTAAAACAGAAATACACTATTTTTATAATTTTATTTATTTGTTTGCTTCAATTTTGGGGTTACCCAATTGCATAGCAAATCAGAAGGGCTTACAGGTTTAAAAAAATTGAGGAGAAAAAGAAGACAGCTGATTAGAAAATAAATCCCTAAAGCCAAGCAGCCAATGCCCATCCTAATTCAGAACCTATAAGAACAAAGAGATCTTAAGCAATTTGCAAAAAGTTAAAAGGGTGGAAAGGAAACACTTCAAATCATTCCACAGACAGGAACCATCACCAAGAAGGCACACTTCCTAAGTCCTGTAAGATGATACTGCTTAATGGATGGTACCCAAAACCACAAATGCTATCCCATATTGAAGCCCAGTCTAAACCTTGACTGAAACACATCTAGATAATCTGCTTCTGCCGGGGGGCCTCAGGAGTTTTGGCCATATTTTATCCCACCTTTCTTGTACAACCAAAGCCAATGTATATTATTTTCTCAAACATTATACACAATGTTCTGTTCTTCAATTTTCCCCAGCAACTGATTGATGTAAGGAGTTACTCCGTGGCTTTCAGGGCTAAGAATGGGCTCTTTCAGGTCCTCGTTCACTACCTTCATAATTATACCTTTAAAAAAAAGCAGTTTGCCTCTTAATTCCTATAATTTCCTGACCCAACTAATGTCATTTAAATAAATTGGACCTGATCTCCACATCATTTTCAGCCAGGCTTGTTCATATGTACTTGTTTATCACAATGCAGTGAGATTTTGGAAACACCATGTCACCTACTGGCCCCAAGAATTTAATAAAATAGATAAGTTTCAAGCAAGTATTTACATTTACTGTTTGCTAGTCTATGTATTAACAGGCAAGCCTTTGGATCAGAATACTTTTCAATGGAACTGACTGTACTTACCCAGTGCTCTGTAGGATACAGAAGTAAGAAGCGAGAGAAAAACAGGGGAAAAGCATATATGTAATGGCCAAAGCCAGACAATGATGTGGAAACTTTTTTCTGAAGTTTACATTTCCAGAAAGGAGGTTAAGAGACCAAAAAATAAAGTAAGAACAAGAAGACAACTGGGGGAAAGCTAATAAAAAGAGAGGCAGGAGAAAAAAATAGAGGTAGAAGAGCAAGCGGGTGGGAGGGAAATTTATTAAAAACAGGGGCAAGGAAGAAGAAACAGATACGAATGTAGAATAAAGTCAGCTGAATATTTTATAGGCTGGGAAAAAACTCCTGGAATGTTAATCAGCTGACTGGTCTCTACCTAGATCCCATGCCTGCTTTGAACAGAATTTCTCTCTGACTCTTTGGCTTTGCTCTTTCCTTCACTTTGTTTTTGAAAACATGACATTCCTTTAAGATATCAGGGACCAGATAAGCCTGCCAGATGGTGGGATTTGGAAAAGACAGCATCTGGATTAGCAGAGCAAGTTACAACTGATGGGATGTGTAGAAACACTAAGCCAAAGTCAAACAAATCTGATTATATTAAGGCTACCGTATATGACCCAGTGAAATCTGGGTATCACAAGATGGTGGCTGTTATATCTGGGAGGACGGTTCAAGAACGGAGGCAAGATTCAGACAGTAACTAAAGCTCTTTATTTGTGACTTCAGATCTGAGCAACCAAACCCAGCCGCAGCAGCCCCTTTTATAGGGCTGGCTGCGGCTAGGCAGCCAATGAAGGCGATTTGAGTTTGCCGCTCTTGGCAGGGCCAATCGCGGCAGCCTGTTTACTGGCCAATCGCATCAGTCTATGGCGACCAATCACGATCGGCTTTCAGTGGGCCAATCAGATTTGCAGGCTACGAGCCTGCTAGTCCGGAACACCCCTCCCCTCTCGGTTCCGTTTAAGGGGTGGAGTAATATAGTCTCGCAGGTAAGCAGGTCTTCACACCTGTCTGCCTGACTTACACAGTTCCGCTTGACCCTGTTCAAACCCGGGTTCAGATGGACTGCTTGCTGGATCAAACAGGAACAGTGAACCAGTGTCATGGTCAGGGCTCTCCTCTGGTGCCTCCGGGGTGATGAAGTCCTCAGCCTCGCTGTTACTGTTCTGGCTCCCGGGGCTCGCTGAACCTGCCTGGATGCTGCTTCCTGGCGAAGCGTTCGACTGTCCAGTCTCAGTTGCAACTGGTGAGTGTTGCCAACCATGGTGCGGTGATCTCGGTGATAGCTCGGAATAGACAGGTGTTGGTTCTAATTCTGAGTTCACTGCTTCCCCTCCCCCCCTAGTGTCAAAGTTAGGGTCAGGGTTGGAAGATGTGGTTAGTCTGGAGCGCAGTTGGTCAATATGGCGTTTCCATGGTCTGCCATCAGTGGTGAGTAGACGGTAGGAGCGGGGGCCCGTAACTTGAGTTACCTGGGCAGGAATCCAAAGGGGATCCCCAGAAAATTTTTTTGCGAAAACATGGTCTCCTACCTTGAAAACACGGTGCTTGCTGCTGGAACCCGGGGGCTTTTCCGGGGTGTAGGCAGGGTGCAAACGAACTAGAGGCGATCTGAGTTTCCTGGCCATCAGGAGTTCAGCTGGGCACTTGTTGGGCGTGCTGTTTGGTGTGATGTGTTGTAGGAGCAGCATTCTAGTGACTTTGTCGTGGATGTTGCCTTGATCCATTTTCTGCAGGGTTTTCTTTGTAAACTGAACCATTCGTTCAGCCCTACCATTCGCCGCAGGATGAGCCGGCGATGTGAGTGTGTGTCGGATGCCCCGTTCTGCTAAATACTGTTCAAAGGCTAAGGCAGTAAATTGGGGCCCATTGTCAGAGACCAGGACATCTGGTAACCCGTGTGTGGCGAAGAGTCTGTTCAGTTTTTTAATGACCGCCTCAGTAGTGGTTGCTTTCATTTTATTGACCTCAAGCCAGTTTGAGTAGGCATCAACAGTTATTAAGAAGGTGTGGCCTCTCGTAGGTCCCGCAAAGTCAACATGAATGTGAGACCAAGGACCCCTGGGTGTTTCCCATTCTGTTGGTGGGGCTTTAGGTGGAGCTGAGTGGTTTTCCTGGCATTTGTTACAAGAGGCGCCCCAGGTTTCGATTTGTTTATCTATACCTGGCCACCATGCATAACTTCTTGCCAGCGCTTTCATACGAACGATGCCCGGGTGTCCATCGTATAGCATTTGCAAGACCCTTTTTTGTAACTTAGTTGGTACAACAACTCAGTCTCCCCACAAAACGCACCCTTTTTGTGAAAAAAGTTCCATTTGTCTGTTTTTAAATGGCTTAAACATTTCCTTAGTGTCGTAGTCTGGCCATCCCCTCTCCACCCAGCCAAGAACTCGTGCCAAACAAGAGTCTCTTTTGGTTTCAAAAGCAATGTCTTGAGCCGTTAGTGGAGGTGATGGCATTGTCTCTATTTTCAGTACGGGGAGTGTGGGAGCTGGGTCTTCCTGTGGCTCGGGTAGTGGTGAGTGGCTCAAGGCATCTGCGTGGGGAATAGATTTCCCCGGGCAGTATTTTAATTGATAGTCGTAGGCAGTGAGAAATTCCGACCATTACGTCATTCTGGGGGAGAGAATGTGTGGAGTAGGTTTGTCGCCCGCCAGGATCCCAAGTAGTGGCTTATGATCTGTTATAATAGAAAACGGTCTCCCATAAACATATTCATGAATCGTTTTATTGCAGAGACAATTGCAAGGGCTTCCTTATCTAATTGGCTATAGTTTCTTTCTGTTTTTGATAGAGTTTGTGAAAAAAATGCAATTGGTGCTTCTGAGCCGTTTGGTAGGACGTGGCTCAGGATGGCCCCTACCCCAAATGGTGAGGCATCACACGTGACAGTCAAAGGTAGTGTCTCATTATACTGAATTAGTACTGCCTTTGAGGTAAGGAGGTCTTTTACTTGCTGGAAGGCATGTTCCTCCCGATGTCCCCAATTCCAGGATGCCCTTTTATCGAGTAGTCTATGAAGGGGCTCAGCAACAGTCGCCTTCTGGGGTAGGAAGATGTTATAAAAGTTAATAAGTCCCAGGAAGGCTTGGAGGTTGGTTTTGTTTTTAGGTCTTGGGGCGTTTTTGATAGCTGCCAATTTTTTTTTCTGTGGGGTGGATTCCTTGCTTGTCAAGGAGGTAGCCAAGAAACTCCACCCTTTCTGTGCAAAGCTGGCACTTTTCCTTCTTAACCTTGAGGCCAGCGTTTTTGAACCTCTGTAGGACTGTTCTGAGAAATTTTTCTAATTGGTTTTTTGTGGGTGCTGCTATTAATACATCATCAAAATAGGGCACGACCCCTTTTATCCCTTGTAATAGTCTCTCCATCAGGCTTTGAAAGATGCCTGGGGCTACGCTTACACCAAACTGGAGCCTGTTGCATTTGAATGCACCATGATGTGTGACTATAGTTTGGGCTTCTGCAGTCTCGGGATCAACTGGTAGCTGTTGATATGCTTGGGCCAGATCTAATTTTGCGAATATTTTGCCACCCCCAAGTGAATGCAGGAGATGTTGAACAACTGGCACTGGGTCAGGTGCTCTGCTGTAGCGCGTGATTGAGGGTGGCCTTGTAGTCACCGCAGATTCTTATGGACCCGTCAGGTTTTATGGGGGTGATGATTGGTGTCTCCCATCGGGCGTGGTCAATAGGTTCTAACACGCCTTGCACAATTAATTTGTCCAGTTGCTCGTCAATTTTGGATTTAAGAGCAAAGGGAACTCGGCGTGGCTTTAGATGAATGGGTGCTATGTCGGGGTGAAGATTAAATGAAATGGGGGACCCCTTGTACTTGCCTAGGCTTTCGTTGAACACTTCTTGGAAATCGTGGATGAGAGCCACCTCCCAGTCATTGTCTTCAGTATGATGGATGCCAGCCACTCCGATTCCTAGTGGCGCGAACCACAGAAGACCCAATAGACTTGGCCAGTCTCGGTCTACGACGGTGAGTGGTAGAATTGCCTTATGTCCCTTGAACGAGACCTGCACATGGCGGGTACCTGCGACTGGAATCCGGTTGCCTTGATAGTCTTTTAGTATGAGTCTCTGACTGCTGAGGTCTTGGCAT